TGCGTTAAAAATTATATAAAATTTTATAACTGAGTGGGACAAATGTCCAATATTATACTCATTGTTATATAATACAACACAATCTGTAGTACATTAGTATTGTTCTTTTGAGTTAATTTTTGGCAAAACACCTTCAGTTTATGAATTTAAAAGTCGAGAACAAAGAGAGGTACAAAGAGAGAACAAAGAGAGAAAACGATCGGAAAAACGAAATACGTTTTTACAATTTTTTTTTCATTACATCATTATTTATGGAAAAAATTTGACGCAAGTTTAAAATAAAATAAACTATAACTAAATTAGCTTACATTAAATTAGTAATAAAATGTACCATTTATATGTGTTTGGAATAAATTTATGTTTAAATTCATTCTTTTTAAAAAGGGTGGTGTAGTGCACATATATTTACAATTATTCTAAAGCAACTTCAGTAAATATACTTTGTTGGCAAACAGTCTTCAAATAAATTATAATTTACTTACTCGTAGTAACGCATGGCAACATAAATTATGCCTCACCAGCACATTGCTCAAGCACAAATACAACAGCAACGCTTTTTTATTATTTAAAACCATGTTATGTGCAATAAGATTTTATGTACACATGTATGCTTTATTTAGATATACAATAATTGCTAGCGTAAAATATTTTCATATGTTTAAGTTTAACTCTAAGCTCATAGAGCTGAGCATAAGTAAGACGCGTAGAAATAAGCCTGCATAAGCCGAACGCATAATTTATAAAAACTTTATAAAGTTTAATATATTTGTTTTAGCACAATAATATATGTGTAGAATTTATAAGTCGTGTTTTATTGCTTTTTGATCTATTAACACACATATACATGTAGAAATGTTTATTTAATAGACAAATTATTTATTTAATACAAAAATCAAAATGTATGAGTGTAATAATATTAATGAGTTAATAAGTCTTCTTAAACGCACACTTCGTTTCGGACTGCTCTCGTTTGCTTCTTGTTTATTCTGCATGTTACTTTTTCTTGGCATTGCTAGATCTTACCCTTCCTAGCTACATTCGGCCATCCGACTCTTTATCCGATCCGGATGATAGCTCTTTATTAACTTCTGCATAACGCCATAGTTTCATATGATCGCAGCTGGTTGACGCAGTCTTTGGCCCCTCAAAAACGCCTGCTTTTCATACATCGTATCGTCCGTTGCTTTTGAATTTTGTTACCTCGTATGGACCAAAATATTCATTTATTAATTTTTTACCTGGAGTAAATTTAGTACGTTTAATAGCGACCAAGTCGCATGCTTTATATTCCCGCTCTTCTCTCCGCTTTCCATCAAAAGTTTTTTTATATTCTGCCCGAACCTTTTCAATTTGTTGTTTAGCATGTTGTCGGAGTATATTGCGTTCTTCGTCAAATTCTTGAATTAATTCATCCTCTATTTTTTGTTTTATGGAGCAGTACCCGCCGCTCTTTCGCATTTTTATACCAAAAGGATTTCAAAAGGTGAATGTTTAGTAGTTCGATGAATTTCAGTTTGGTAACGGTCGAACTTAAAATTTGACCGTTATTCCTTGAAATACCTGTTGTTGTTAGGGTATGTTCGATCTGCGCTGCTTTACAAAATAATACAAACACATTTGATGTAAACGTGACGCCCTTATCGCTCACAATTCATGTTTTGCTATCACTTCCTCAGCACCAGTAGACCTTTTCATATAAAGCCACACAAACTTGCTAAAGCCATCGACCATTGCGAAAAAATATTTATATTTCTTCGAAGTAGCATTCATTGGTCCTAGCTGATCGTATGTAATAATCTCTCTAGCTTATCTTGCTTATTGATGTACAAAATACATATCACACAGTTTTTGATTAATTTATCTACTTTTTTCCCTAGATGCGAAATAAAAAATTGCTGCTTGACTTCGTATGTCGTTTTCATAACTCCAAAATGCCCTTGGTAATGACAAGTTTTTATCACCTTTCTTTCCATTAGTAGTGCAGTCATCAATAAAGTTTGTCAGTCTGCTTCCTTGTTTTGTTCTCAAAATTTGCATTATAGCGCTGAGATGTTCATCGGCTTTTTGCGCTTTTTCAATCGTTAAACGCATTTGGGTTTTTAATTTGGTCATTAAAACTGCATGTCTACTTAACGCATCTACGTGTTTCATATGTATACCACCTCGATATTTAACTGTAAAATTGAAATCTTGCATTATGTATCTCGGAACTGACTGAGGAATATCATTTTTCGACGTTGTGTAACACTTCATTCAATAATGTGTGTGACTGACACATAGATGGCGGCACTAATACTAAATAAATATTTTTTTTCGAAAGTGGCAACCTTTTTAGGTTTACTGTCAAAATCATATGTTAATCCGACCATTTGTTTACAAGTAACAGTGCTTTAAGTGACACTACTTTTGAGTTTTCAAAAAAAACTGAATTCAAAGCATTTCTGTGTGCTTATTTATCATTGTTTTTTAATGAAAAAAAATTATTTGGACTCTGCACCATCAAAATGAAGCATTTGTTATTGGTATGCCGAAATCAAACGTGATCGTACAGACACCGATGACATTCCATTTATTGGACGGCCAAATGACGCTGTTGTTCCGGAAAACGTTGAAAAAACACTGAAAATCATTATGTCCGACCGTAAAGTGAAAGTGAAGGAGATTGCTGACATTCTACAGATATCAGCAGGCAGTGTACACACATAATACATGAACATTTGGGTATGAAAAAGGTGTTTTCGAAATGGGTGCCGCGTTTGCTCACACCGGAGCAAAAACAACAACGAATCTATGATTTAAAGAGCTGTTTGGACATGTTTACGCGGAATAAGTCAGAGTTTTTGCGTCGGCACATAGCGATGGATGAAACATGGATCCACCATTTCACTCCAGAGTCAAATCGGCAGTCTGCTGAGTGGCATGCAGCCGGTGAAAGCCGCCCAAAGTGACCAAAGACGCAGCAGTTGGCTGGCAAGGTTATGGCGTCTGTATTTTGGGATGCGCATGGAATAATATTCATCGACTGTCTCCAGAAGGGAAAGACCATCAACAGCTACTATTATATAGCGTTATTGGAGCGTTTGAAAGACGAAATCGCAAAGAACGGCCTCATATGGCGAAGAAAACAGTTTTGTTCCACCAAGACAATGCACCGTGT